ATACGACGGCGGCCTCTTCTGCTTCCTCTGGAGCCTTCAGCTTGTCTAGCACTCTGAGACATGTCTCGTGGAGCGCGATAACGGCATCGTTTTTGCCTGGTGATCTCCATGACTTCATGTGGCGTCTTGGATGGAGAGTACTCCCAACACCGGACAGACTAAAGATGTGGAGCATGGTTCCCTCTTCCACTTGCCCTAACTGCCCGTTACAGGATTCTGACCATCATTGCTGCAGCAATGTGTCATTGCGAAAGTCTTTTGGAAGGCTGTTAACACTGGTTTCCGTGGCCTAAATGTTAGTCGCTTCGTCACACCTGGTCACTGCTCGCGTTGTCGCTTTGTGCACCTTCCAATAGCTGCGGGAGCTTTTTGTTTGTGGCGTAATAGGTGCGAAGCTGTTGCGGTAGCTCATCGTCGTCGTGCTCCCTTTCCGATTCTGAGGCGCTTTAACTCTGAATTTCTATGTTTTTGTCGGAGGAATTGTTCTTCCTCGGAGAGAAAGAATTTCTACGACAATGGTAGTGCCATTTTCTGTCCGTTGTTGATGGACGTGTTTGGTTAGTTTTTCACCTGACCTGGTTCCTATAGCCAAATCGCCTGTCAGTCTGATTAGTGCATGTAATCTGTATGTGTTCACTATTTCTATGTATTTGTGTACGCCCCGTATGCGTGTGGGTTCGTGTATATAAGCACTCCATTCTAGCGCTGTAAATTATAAATTACACGCATCTTGATACCTTTTGTAAATAGTTGCCCACATCTTCTGTAAATTCTGTATATAGATAATGACTAAACCATGCACATTGTGATTACCGTGTATATGTAGTGTATGTAGCGATTATTAACACTGTGTTAGGTATACCCTACGGACTGGAACACTTTTGTTTTTTTGTTTGTTTGTTTGTTGGTTTGTTTGTTATGAGGCTTTTTTATAAAGACACTGGTTGCAATAGTTAGTAACGTCCCACGATAGAATAATTTTTTTCTAAATACTCGACCTCATGAAGTGTCAGGCCCACGGAATGGATTCTTGCTCTGCCAAAGTACAGTACCAATACTCTAAATATTACCAACTTTTTCAATAAAGCTTAGTCTAATCAGACTAAGCTCCATTTATTGGATAAAAAAGTAAAGCAAAAAGCACCGTTTATGTTATTTCGTCGCCTAGCACATAAGTCTAATACAAGTGTTAGACGGGAGCTTGGAAGTCCATTGAACCAATTCTCAATTGACGCAACAGTCAGGCACGGGCGATACACTGTACAAGCTTCATAGCTTGTAAATCACCGAGTCTTCACTCGTTCTCATGAAGATGGTTGGTAACGTGGTGGCACTCTCTACTCAGCTTTGTTTTTTTTTTGTTTCTCCCCTTTGTTTTATTTTTCGAATTTAACATTTCACACGGGCAATTTCGAAGGCCATTCAGTCAATTTCCTGTCGAGTCAAAGGAGCACCCCACACCTCCGTCGAAACTACGAAAGCGGAAACAGCGGGAACGTGCCAGTGTTGACAAGTGGTGACAACGTGGCCAGTTTGGCGGCTGTACATCTTAAAACCCAAACATTAATTCGTAATTACGAATAAATAATTTCTTGAAATATTTTAACACAAATAATGACGCATGTGTATTGTTAAATCTCTCTACATTATCTTGATTGCGATAACGTCAGAACGAAAATAGATATTTTTAGCACCACACATGTTTTTGCGAGAAATACCTGAATCACTCAACGACCGTTAAAGACTGCCGTGTTGCAGTGTGACCACTATATCCAGAAGATGGTGCTGCAGGCGACCTTTCGACAGCCGTCGACTCGATGGCCTTTGAAGACGGCCCGTGTGACACAGGTGTATAAGACGTCCAAAAATAAAGACGGTAACATAATAAAGAAAAAAAAATATCATGCGTGCCTGTGTGTACCTGCGTGTGCTGTGTGCGTGTTCAATACAGGGAATCATCATCATCATCACCATCAGGCTGACTACGGCCACTGCAGGATAAAGGCCTCTCCCATGTTCCGCCACTTTGCTTGCTGCTGCCACTTTATACCCGCAAACTTCCTGGTCTCATCAGCCCACCTAACTTTCTGTCTCCCCCTAGCCCGCTTGCTTTCTCTAGGAATTTAGTCAGTTACCCTTAATCACCAGCGGTTATCCTGCCTACGCGCTACATGCCCGGCCCATGTCCATTTCATCTGCCTGGTCTCAACTATGATATGCTTAATCTCAGTTTGTTCCTGATCCACTCTACTCTTTTCTTATTTCTTAAGGTTTCACCTGTCATTTTCCTTTCCATCGCTCGCTGCGTCGTCCTCAATTCAAGCTGAACCCTCTTTGTAAGTCTCCAGGTTTCTGTTCCATAGCTAAGTACCGGCAAGATAAAGCTGTTATATACCTTCCTCTTGAGGGATAGTGGCAATCTACCTGTCATGATTTTAGACTGCTTGCCAAATGAGCTCAATCCCATTCTTATTCTTCTAGTTACTTCAGTATTGTGGTCCGGCTACGCGGTCATTACCTGTCCCAAGTAGACATAGTCTTTCACAACTTCAAGTACACTACTGCCTACCTCGAAGCGCTGTTCTCTTTGAGGTTGTGGTACATTACTTTCGTTTTCTGCAGAATTGTTTTAAAACCTACCTTTTTGCTCTTCTTGATTGATTGATATGTGTGGTTTAACGTCCCAAAACCACGATATGATTATGAGAGACGCCGTAGTGGAGGGCTCCGGAAATTTCGACCACCTGGGGTTCTTTAACGTGCACCCAAATCTGAGCACACGGGCCTACAACATTTCCGCCTCCATCGGAAATGCAGCCGCCGCAGCCGGGATTTGAACCCGCGACCTTCGGGTCAGCAGCCGAGTACCTTAGCCACTAGACCACCGCGGCGGGGCCTTTTTGCTCTTCTTGTCCAACTCTGAAATCATGAGGTGAAATTCGTCCCCTGAGTTAATCTGCAATGCAATGTCATCAGCAAAGCGCAGGTTTACTTAGGTGCTCACCATTAACTCTCATTCCTAACTCTTCCCACTCAAGGCCTCTGAAAACCTCATTCAAGCATGGGATAAATAGCGTTGGCGAGACTGTATCCTCTTGCCTTACACCCTTTTTGATTGCTATTTTCTTGCTTTCTTTGTGGAGAACTATGGTGGCAGTTGAACTCCATACTTGGATAAAAAATTGCGATTGCACCTCTATTGCACGCGTCCTGTGCAAGATGGAAATGACTTGATGTGTCTGCAGCTTTAATGTCAAGTTAGGCAACAATCATCGCGAAACTGAATCTAAGAAGAGAAACGGCATACGAGCGGTGTATACATAACGCTTCACACGCAGGGCAACTACACCACTATCAAAGAATGGGTTGTGTTAAAAACAACAGAAGCAAATGTGCGCCAACTCGTTGAAATTCACTTCCGTGTAGTGAATGTGTACGTTGGCGTGAAAGAAGTTGATGTATGTATTTTGTTCGTAAGAGCGCACTTTGCCCCAAGCAAAAACTTCCGTGCAACTGATAGAAGATATTTCTTGCGAAATTTCGTACTGCGATTTGTGAGTCTGTGATGACAAATGGGGCATCAGTGTGAGCTATATGCAGAGAGCAATAGCTACCTCCTCCGCTGCTTCGACGTGTCTAGTATTGATAGAAGCATTGGTTATTCATTCGTTCATACTGTCTACAACCGCAAAAGCAAAATGTCGGTGGTCCCGATGGCGCACTGCATAAATAAGGAGCACTTCGTCATTGCGTCCATATCTCTATACACTATTCTCCACTCATCGATTACCTACTTCGTCGGTGTAAGCATGCATAACCAAACTATGTGGCCCACAACCCAAGCAGCCAAGATGCTCTATTTTGCGGTTCAGCACTGTGTAGGGAACTCGAATCTGGGGTCCTGAGGCCTTTAAAATGCAGAGTTTGGGCGAAACATTAGGAATGATGGCCTTTTTCAGGCCCTTTCGGCCAAAGCCAAGCATGTAACTACATTTGAATCACATCGCTAAAATATAAATGTCTGAACATGAAAGGCACACTGATCATTTTTCCGCGGTCCCCGCTTCTAAAATACTCACCGTTAGAACAACTATAGCTGCTCCGGTGGTGAGCATTTAGAGTGGGTTTCAAAACTACCTCGTACTAGAGTGGCTTTAACATCTGCGGATGCTGGATGCAAGTGCACCTATTCGATGAACCAACGAAAAGAGATACCACTTTAATATATTTACGCTGTTCGCCCAACAATCGCTTCCCCAACTTTTCCCTAACTACGACCGAGAACCATCGCCTTTCACGAAACAAAGACTCAATTCATTCCTTCGTTCATTTCTAAAGAAATTACAAAATTTCTAAAGTTAATGCAGCTGCACTTCAGGTTCATATGATCACCAGTAAGTGCGCTGCAACCCACCCGTGTGGCTGGGCCTTCGCGACGACATAATGCAGATGTGAGACGCGTACAGTTATAGATACTGCTGAGCAAACATCTTGCGGAGCTTCCACGGCGTTGACTCTTGCGTATGAAACATAGCATGGACACACACAATCAGATGCTACTTCTAAAGTTAACTAAGCACATAATGAATATGATGACAATGAATAGACATTTAGCATTAGTTGCAACCTTTTGAGTTTACGTTTGAAAAACGCCTGTGAGTTGGCTTTTCCGCAGCAATGTTTTCCAAGTAGAAGCCTTTTTCCCAGACAACTTTTGCTGTTCTGACGACGTAGACTGCTCCACATTCCAGCGAAGGTGGGGAGCAAGGAACCTCAAAGGCTTTTCAACGCACACTGCCGGAATGACATGCCTCGTTGTACGCTACGTGCATACGTGGATGAAGAGAATAGTAGAAACGAAATAAACGAAAGGCAGGAGTCAATGACGAATAGTAGAAACAATTTTCCGTCTTGTCTATGATATAGGTTATTTGGTTGAAAACAAAACTTGCTCGCATGTTTTGCAAACTATTTGCAAACTATTTTGCAAACTGTTCATTCCGTGATTCTGAAGCTCGCGCTGTCGTCAATATCATTAGTTCGATTTATTGGCATCTAATTGCCCCAAACGTTGACAGTCGCAACGTGCTGTCAGGCGTCTATAGCCTCTAGCACTTTGATTAGCGGCGCGATCACGGAGCGTAGGCTCGCGTCCCCCGGTTTGTCGTCGTACTTGATCGCCTCGCACTTCGCGTTGGCCCAGTCGTTCGCGCACAAGATGCCCAGCATATTGCCCTCGTAGTGCTTCAGGAGTCTCTTGACGAAGTCGTGCGCCCCCTTATCACAGGTGCCGCGGATGGCGTCGCTCATGCAGACCTCCAGTTTCTTGTACTTACTGCGCAAGAAAAGGCAGACAAGAGGTGTCAACTCTGTCAACGCGAATGAAACTATACCAATGCAGAACCATTGTATCCTTGTAGCCGCACTAATTGTTGAAACAAGAACAAGTGATTGAGCTATCGTTGATTTCGTGGTTACCACTACTTCTTTTCACTTAGCTGCTGGGCCATAAGAAGCAAAAAAAGTATTTTGCTCAATGAGCTAAGAAGTTTCATTTTTCACCGAACACACTAGTCTTAGCCCGCAGAAGAAATATGCATTCGTGCACACGAGGTTTGTTCCGGTGAGTACTGATCACAAATAGCAGGTTCCTCAGAGAAGCGGTCAAGGACATTTATTGATACGCTACTCTTTTGGGACTTTTGTCTGTCACCATTTGAGGCATGCATATATATATATATATATATATATATATATATATATATATATATATATATATATATATATATATATATATATATATATAGGCAGGCATGGTGGTTGAGTGGCCGTAGCGTTGCATATAGTCTAGTAGATCCTCCGTGAGCGGTCACAACGTGGTTTATTTTGACGTTTCGGCCTAGAGTCTGGCCTTCATCAGGAATAAAGATACAGTTGATGAAGGCCAGACTCTAGGCCGAAACGTCGAAATAAACCACGTTGTGACCGCTCACGGAGGATCTACTTGACTACATATATATATATATATTATATATATATATATATATATAATATATATATATATATATAATATATATAATATATATATATATATATTATATATATATATATATTATATATATATATATATATATAGGCAGGCATGGTGGTTGAGTGGCCGTAGCGTTGCATATAGTCTAGTAGATCCTCCGTGAGCGGTCACAACGTGGTTTATTTTGACGTTTCGGCCTAGAGTCTGGCCTTCATCAGGAATAAAGATACAGTTGATGAAGGCCAGACTCTAGGCCGAAACGTCGAAATAAACCACGTTGTGACCGCTCACGGAGGATCTACTTGACTACATATATATATATATATAGATATATATATATATATATATATATATATATATATATATATATATATATATATATATATATACAGAACATGACGGCAATGGCCAAAACTCTCCGAATCGATTGTTCTACAACGAAGAGCAAGCTTTTGAGGCAGTGAGTTGCATGAAACCGACGACGACATTTCGGGGGAAGGGGGGCAGCACGGCAAAGCGACGCGTGCTTGGCAGTCAGAGGGTAAAAATTGGGCTAAACTCTAACCAAACTATAAAACTGGGACAGAAATATAGAAACTGCCTACAGGTTATGTCCGCACGTATGGCCGAAAGTCAAAACCTTATTTGAAGTGAAAACTGACATGTGGGCCTCCATATAAGAGGTCACCATGGAAGGGGCAATGCTTTCACGCCGTGCTGAGGGACTAACAATACCGCCCCATGGCCGCAATGTTCCGAACCCTGCTCTAAAAACAATGAAGCTGCTTTGTCCTAGTGATGCAAAGCTGGGTTACAGCAGAGCTGGTCAACACGTTCTGGTCCTGGCTTGGCGAGGTGGTGTTCGGTTTTTCCAAGTTTCGCAAGGTAATTTACGTATTGCCTATCAACTTTTTGACTATAAATTGATTTTCAGGACGTATCAGGGATACATTTTCTTTAGTCAGGCCAAGCTCATCCAAGCATCTTGCAGAATTTAGTCATTGATCAGTAATTTTTTATCTTTTGATAGGTTCCCAATTGGCTATGCCTGGGCCTTGTATTGTATAAAAGGCTGTAGTTGAAATATTAGGCCTTTACTATCGTGTGGCCTTCTATTTGGGCCATCGTCAAGACTTCCAAGCATTGTAATAGGTTTATTGGTTACAATTAAGTTAGAGATTTAGTATTTATTGGCATTGGCGGACTATTATTAGGCTTTAGCCATGTATTTGGACTTAGCGTAACACATACGAACATTTTATGCGCTTTAGCGAAAATTGAAGGATTATATATTAGCTGTTGATTTGTTATCGATGGACTACCACTATACTCGGCGAGAACTTATCTTGACATTACAGCGAAAGGACAACGGCAGCAGGGCTTCTGCACATTCGCCTTCCTCCGCAAGTATAGTCCACACCGTCATGTACGTCATGATTCATTTCAAAAACGGGCCCGCGGAAAGGGTGGCGCTAAAACTGGAAAGAAAAGGTAGCCACTCTTCAAATCGAAAGATCATTGTTTTTCACCTATGACTTCCTGCAACTGTTCGAGTCTCATATGAAAGCAGCAATATTTCCGCAAAGCAAATGATAAAATTTTCCAGTAAACTTATCTATTTTTCGCGTGATAGCAGGTATGCGTTTACGTTCTGTATCTTCCACAGTTCTGTCCAGAAATAATGTCGCCTAATGTAGATATTCATGGCGATACTCCCGTACCCGCCGGATCCATCTAGTGTACACCTATTTCCGAGACCGCCAGGCTTGCTGAAGAGTGTCGCGAGCTTGCCAAGATTTTTACGACGCATGAGCAAGAGCGACCGAAAAGTATTCATGATGGCTCCACCCCACGTTCTTTCCTGGTTCCCTCGTATAGCTCTCAATCCTAACCTCTGTAACTGGCCTTTCTTCCAAACTACTTCCGAAATACGAAGGCCCCTACCGTGGTCATCGAGCGCACATCTCCGGCCAACTATCTGATCGAACCAATTGAACAGTCTTCGGACATGCGCCGTCGCGGGCGCAACATCGTCAACGTGGAGCGCCTGAAGGCTTATTATGACCCGCTCGTAGTGACAAGCCGTTAGGTCGCCAGGCAGCTCCCTCTTGGAGCCAGGGGTAATTGTAGCGAAGCTTCCGAACTCTGAAATGGGTCGAACTCTGGAGTGCCTTCTTGTGGATCCACCCAGAAAAAACGCCGTTCGCGCTGCGAGTCCGTGCTTGGCCGTGACAGTCGTCATAGGGAATGATCGCTGGTTGTCGGGTGATGAACGCCTTAACGATGGCTAAGCTTAGCTCAACAAGTTTTAACTATGCTTATGTACACTCGACTGCGCTCTGTTAAGCTTGAATATATGAATTACACAAAGCTAGGTCGAGTTTTCACGAGTGCCGCACGCAGATCAAAAAGTTTAAGCTGTTCGGCTGTTGGAAATCAAGGAATAGACAACCTGCGATAGAGACATGGTCAGTTAAGGAAAGGTCATGTGTAATACGAAGGAATTGTCTCCCAGCAGGATTGATTGATTCAGTCATTCATTCATTGGTTCATTGAGTCATCGATTGAAGTGCATTTAATATAATTTCACGAAGTCCCCGCAATCAAACCCATTTTCACAGTTTACCAGCATCTCGAGCAGCATGACACCCACCACAACTTTTATTCTTCGCGACAGGAACGATGCTAGCTGAGCACAATGAACTTACATCCACACGTGCTTAGTTAGGTCGCTGGTGTGACCCACTTACCAGCAGCCACCGGTGATTCGCTGTCTCGGCTCCAACCTCGAGGCGACATCCAGGTCCATGATGAAGTTTTTGACGCAGGTGTGGAACTTAGAGCCCACCTTGTTCAGGCATGGAGCGTACTTTGTAAAGTCTGCATGCATAAAAAAAACAAAAAAAAACGTTCGTCATCTTCAGGGCTTGAATCAAACGACTACGATGTATTTCGGTACAATGACACATTTTCACTCACTAAGAACTTAAACACCACTGCAATGCTTACACTGATGCTCTGTTTCGCCAGCTCAATGGTGTTAGTGCCATTGCCGCGACTCTTTTCACATAATTTGTGGAGCGAGCGTGTGTCCCAGTGGAAAAGAAAGGGGAACCGACCAGGCACGAAATGGGGCGCAAGAAATGCACGGAAACCGCAACAATGAAGAAGACCATGGTTATCGACAGTAGCACCGACCTCTCCTTATATACGTTTAACAGAAGAAGCACTGTCCCCGAATTCAGCTAAGGCCGTCTTTACTTGGCTTTCGTTTGACGCTGAAGGTAACGCTTCTCTTTCGTTCAATAAGTGAGAATGATAAAGGGGAAACAACAATTAGTCAGTCCCACACATACTCAAATACGCAACATTTACGCCATATCCTCACCACTCTGCGACGAATTTACTGATGTTCTGATGAAGGCCGGACCCGCGGCCGAAACGTCAATAAAATCAATTCTTACGTGCGTCTTCTTCCCTACGGATAATCTTACCCTGACCCAGCATCACTTTTGTTTTTTTTGTTTTTAGTATATATATATATATATATATATATTATATATATATATATATATATATATATATATATTAATGAGATATAACAGACAGTAATGCCAAGGAATGTACAGGGGAAGTTATTATACCAATGGAATGTAAAAATAAGAAGAAAGAAAAGTGGATGAATAAATTACCAACTGTGAGCTGGTAATTTTTTCATCCACTTTTCTTTCTTCTTATTTTTACATTCCATTGGTTCTAATAACTTCCCCTGTACATTCCTTGGCATTATTGTCTGTTATATCTCATTATTATTGTGTTAAAACACGGAAAAACGAGCCCTTAGGTATACACTTGTTTCCCTTATATATATATATATATATATATATATTTGTCAGCGTGTTTGTCACGGAAGTAATGTCTTCCTTAGGAAACTGGCGTGACGAAAGAGAAATGATGGTGTGGCCCAATAAATTGAGAGAAAAGGCGGGCATTCTTGTAAAGTCATCTATGGCTGTTCTTTACCGACGAATTCCCGCAACAATTTCAGTCTCATAATATATAAAGCACCATTTATTTAAACAAGGCAAATGAGAACTTTTTCAATTAACTTGAATACTACGTTAAGGGGTATTAGTAAGCAGGCACTTTGGTTTTGCAGCTTCCACAGTGCTTTCAAGAAAACTTGTCATCAAGTATAGTTCTTGGCTTTGTTCTGTAGAGCGTAAAAATAGGAATTCATGTCGTTCGTCAAAGAAATTCTATATTGTAATTCCCGCCTGCGTATGCACACCCCTTGTTGAGTACAATGACAATAAACATGGGAGCAAAATAAAAAAAATAATATAGAATAAAAATGTTCTATAGCCCTAATCTCTTCTTTAAAGTGAAACATTTTATGCCTGCTTGTCGGCACTGCACGAAAGCTACATTTCTGGTACATTCCAGTGTCGGCCTTGGATCCGCGCCACATTATTTGCAAGTCTCGGCTTTCTTTCTGGTGCCATGTGCACTGAAGCGCACGCTTCAAAGTAATGTTATCGAGAAAACTCTAGTGAGCGTCGCTTATGTCATCAGAGCCTTAGCTTCAGGACATGAGCAGATTCTATTTGCCAATAAACCACACACGTACGAGGAAACGTGTACAAAGCGCACCAAGTGAAAAGTGATATGCCGCAGGACTCAGTGGCTGTAAGCTCGTCGGATGGATGAAATTCCATCCCGTTAACAAAGAGCCACCTTGTACTTGCCTCGACGATAGCCGGCCATATATATATATATATATATATATATATATATATATATATATATATATATATTTATATATATATGTGTGTGTGTGTGTGTGTAGTTCGTTTTTATACTAATATTTATGTCTTCAAAAAATCAGGAAAAAATAGACCATCTCCCACAGAAGGAAACCGCGATGGATTGCGAAGCAGCGGCGGTGTGCATGGCGCTGACCCGGTGGAGTCGCTGCGTATGTGTCGTGCTCGGGCAGTCGAGCAACAGAAGATACACATCCTCGTCGACGAGGCCACACAAACATGTTGACGATGGTGCACGCTGAATACATCGTAAGAAGTACTTTGCGGAAGCACATGCGAGTCTTGGGTGATGTCTGAGTGAGCCGATACGTCTTAAAAGCTGAGGCTCTAATTTGCACTCAATATTAGGCTCAACCGCGTGCAGGATGGATTCCCTTGTGGTCTCTGAGAGAGAGGTCGGTCAGTGAAATTCACGTTTTGGTTTTTCGTAAATTCAGCGCACTGATATACACAAATGAGGTAGGTAGCTCTGTAACACCTACATAATGTCGGGTCCTGGCACGTAGTTTGATAAGAAACGATTCCTTCAGGAACCCGTTAAGAGCGGCTTGAATCTGACTTTGTGGCTTTGACATTACATCATCATCACCATCATCATCATCATCATCATCATCAGCCTGACTACGTCCACTGCAGGACAAAGGCCTCTCCCATGTTCCGCCAGTTAACCCGGTCCTGTGCTTGCTGCTGCCAATTTATACGCGCAAACTTCTTAATCTCATCTGCCCACCTAACCTTCTGTCTCCCCTTAACCCGCTTCCCTTCTCTGGGAATCCAGTTAGTTACCCTTAATGACCAGTGGTTATCCCGTCTAAGCGCTACATGCCCGGCCCATGTCCATTTCCTCTTCTTTATTTCAACTATGATACCCTTAACCCCCGTTTGTCTCCTAATCCACTCTGCTCTCTTCTTTTCTCTTAAGGTTACACCTACCATTTTTCTTTCCATTGCTCGCTGCGTCGTCCTCAATTTAAGCTGAACCCTTTTTGTAAGTCTCCAGGTTTCTGCTCCGTAGCTAAGTACCGGCAAGATACAGCTGTTATATGCCTTCTTCTTGAGCGATAGTGGCAATCTACCTGTCATAATTTGAGAGTGCTTGCCGAATGTGCTCCACCCCATTCTTATTCTTCTAGTTTCAATCTCGTGGTTCGGCTCTGCGGTTATTACCTGCCCTAAGTAGACATAGTATTTTATAACTTGAAGTGCACTATTACCTATCTCGAAGCGCTGCTCTTTTCCGAGGTTGTTGTACATAACTTTTGTTTTCAGCAGATTCATTTTAACACCCACCTTTCTGCTCTCCTTGTCTAACTCCGTAATCATGAGTTGCAATTCGTCCCCTGAGTTACTCAGCAATTCAATGTCATCGGCGAAGCGCAGGTTACTAACGTACTCTCCATTAACTCTTATCACTAACTTTTCCCAATCTAGGCTTCTGAAAACTTCCTGTAAGCACGCTGTCAATAGCATTGGGGCGACTGTGTCCCCCTGCCTTACACCCTTCTTGATTGGTATTCTGTTGCTTTCTTTATGAAGCACTATGGTAGCAGTTGATCCCCTGTAGATTTCTTTCAGGATGTTTCTATATACTTCCTGGACGCCCTGGTTCCGCAGTGTCTGCATGATGGCTGATAATTCCACTGAATCAAACGCCTTCTCATAATCTATGAAGGCTATGTATATTGGTTGGTTATATTCTGAGCATTTCTCTATTACCTGATTGATAGTGTGAATGTGGTCGATTGCTGAGTAGTCTGTTCAAAATCCTGCTTGTTCCTTTGGTTGATTGAATTCTAATGTTTCCTTTACTCTGTTAGCAATTCCCTCTGTAAATAGCTTGTATACTACAGAGAGCAAGCTGATCGGCCTGTAATTCAAGTCCTTGTAATCTCCTTTTTTATGTATTAAGATTATGTTAGCGTTCTTTCAAGACTCTACTACTCTTCCCGTCAGGAGACACCTCGTAAACAGGGTAGCTAGTTTTTCTAACACAATCTGTCCTCCATCTTTCAGCAGATCTGATGTTACCTGATCCTCACCAGCAGCTTTGCCTCTTTGCATGCTCTCCAAAGCTTTTCTGACTTCTTCTATCATTACTGGTGGGGTGTCATCCAGGTTACTGCTAGTTCTTATAGTATTAAAGTCGTGGTTGTCTCGGCTACTGTACAGATCTCTGTAAAACTCCTCCACTATTTTAACTATCCTATTCATATTGGTAGTTATTTTGCCTTCTTTGTCCCTTAGTGCATACATCCGACTTTTGCCTATCCCAAGTTTTCTCTTCACTGCTTTGACGCTTCCTCTGTTTTTCAGAGCGTGTTCAATTCTCTCCATGTTATACCTTCTTACATCGCATATCTTACGTCTATTAATCAACTTCGAAAGCTCTGCCAGTTCTATTTTGTCTGTTGTACTTGACACTTTCGTGATTTGACGCTTCTTCATTAGGTTTTTCGTTTCCTGGGAAAGCTTGCCAGTGTCCTGTCTAACTACCCTGCCTCCAACTTCCACTGCACACTCCGTAATGATACTCGTCAGATTATCATTCATTGTATCTACGCTGAGGTTAGTTTCCTCACTAAGAGCCGAGTACCTGTTCTGCAACGACACTCTGAATTCCTGTACTTTCCCTCTCAGTGCTAGCTCATTGATTTGCTTCTTGCGTATCAGTTTCTGTCGTTCCTTCTTCAAGTCTAAGCGAATTCGAGACCGTACCATTCTAGGGTCACTGCATCGTACCTTGCCAACCACTTCCACATCCTGCACGATTCCTGGGTGTGCACTCATTGTAAAGTCTATTTCGTTCTTATTTTTGCCATTAGGGCTCCTCCATGTCCACTTGCGGTTTTCTCGTTTTCGGTAGAAGGTATTCAAAATCCATAAATTATTGCGTTCTGCGAATTCTACTAGTAGCTCTCCTCTGGCGTTTCTAGTACCGATGCCATAATCTCCTACTGCCTGGTCTCCAGCCTGCTTCTTCCCTACCTTTGCATTGAAGTCACCCATTACTATAGTATACTGTGTTTTCACCTTTCTCATTGCCGATTCCACGTC